AAAGAGAAGGAAGGGAAGGGAGGAGAGAGAGAGAGAATAAACGAAAGAAAGAAAGAAAGAAAGAAAGAAAGAAAGAAAGAAAGAAAGAAAGAAAGAAAGAAAGAAAGAAAGAAAGATTAAATTTTAAAACACATTTAATTAGCTCAAGAAGGGCAACTGAAAATTACCAATTCTAAAACTACATCATTCTAAAAATTACCAAATTACGGAGCCTTACAAAGAAGTTGAATGAAATACACAGATAATATCTGGTATCCATAAACTCAGAAGGAGTGCCAAGAAATGGCTTACTCTGACAGACGGTCTCATTATTAGTAAAAGTCACAGAATGGTTATTAGAACTGGGAGGAGTCTTAGAGGTGGCTTAACAGAGCCCCTAACTCTAGCTATTCTCTTCTCTCAGGGAAACCACAGTTGAATTGAACAGCCAAGACAAACCCACATGACATATTAACCAAAACCCTTCCCTTTCTTGTGATCTGAGCACTGAATGAATTATAGGCAGGCACATAAAAGCTCAGACCAAGGGGCAGACATGTGGGCTCTATTACCCTGCAAGGCTTCATGTCACTCTCATTTCATGGGCAACTATAAATATGCTGATTTGCCAATCAATCTGAAGAAATGCTGAACAAAACATTCAATTCATGTGATTGATGTGTGGAGAACATATTTTAAAACTTCAAGTTTTAGGTATGTGAACATTCTCCCCTGCCCCTGCGGCTGCCCCCAGGCTCAAGCAATCCTCCTGCCTCAGCCTCCCAAAGTGGACATTTGAACATTTTAAAGCTTCAATAAGTGAGTTTGCTGATTCAGTTTGGGTACAACATTAACTGGGCGTTTTAAACCTTACATGGTCCAAAGTAGAGGTCTTTGAGGAAAAGATAACCAAGGCAGCTTTGTGGACACAATGGTTTCAGCTCTAGGAACCTTCAGACAGTCTCCACTAAAATGGAAATTCCCAGGAGAAAAGGTCTGATTGTTCCAGTTTCTTCCTAGATCAATTCTTAGTCCCTGATTGCTGAACAAAAAATCAGGATATTAATCCAAGTCAGGGTAGGTTGAATCATGAAACAAAGAGAACAGTTAAGAGTTGGGATCATTTTTTTGGGAGGCAGGGGGCGGGTGGACAGGGTTGTTGGTCAAAATACTTCTGTTCAGACTAAATAATACACCCAGGTGCCCCAAATAGAAAGCAAGTTCTGAATGCAAGATACTTTAATTATTTTGCCAAGCTAAAGTCAAGAGGACAGGAGACACAGCAGGGCCAGACTCACTTAATAAGATTCTGGAAGTTAGAGGCAGGTAAGGCAACTGCTTCAAGGTAAAATTAGAACAAAATTGGATTCAGAAGGCAGATCACAAGTCAGGAATGTAAGATCTGGAGTTGTTATGTACCTGTCTGCATTTGTTAGTGGTTCTTCCACCATTTGACCCTGTTCTGTAGATTAATGCCTCCCTTGCTAGCCTTTCTGCTTCCCTATGGAAGATCTTAGCAACAAAACATTGAGTGCATCTGAGAAATACAAAAAGTTGAGCATTCAGTGTTTAGGATGGGTGGAAACCAAGGCAGCTCTGGAGACGCAATGACTGAAGCACTTGGAACCTTCAGACACTGTGAGTCTCCATTAAGACGTTTCAATTCCCAGGATAAAAATGTCTGATTATTCCAGGTTTCTTCCTAGATGAATCAGGTATTTCTTGGAGTGAAGGTTGGAGGTGGGATGTCATGTAGCACAGTAGGGATACTGAGGGCCCATCTTATGCATCAAGGCCATTCTTGGGATAAGGAAGAATTTTTAGGGGCAGGAAAGTGACTTCAACCTGAGCTTACCACAAAGTCCAAATCCTCATTGATTCATTCATCAAGACAGCACATCACAGCAGAGTGCTTCAGAATGCAAGCTATGGAACCAAGTGCTTGGGATCCATTTCTGGCTCTGTCAGTTACTAACACTGCACTTTCTTCACCAGTCAAAGCAGTTAATTTGAGTGCCTATCTCACAGGATTGTACTGAGGAGTAAAAGGCTTAATGCGCATAGTGAGCCTAGGATAGTGTGTGGCCCATAATAAGTACTCAACAAATTTTAGCTATTACTGACATTCGTTTGAAAAATCTTAAAGAGCACGGATTATGTGCCAAGTACTGTGTGAGCTTCTCACCACCCTTTAGCCCAAATCTACTCTTCCACTGAGTAGGATATTCTTATCCTAGTCATTCATTAGAAATGTGGGAGTCATCTTAACTTCTCCCACCTCCTCATTGCCCACTTCTAAATATACACCCGACTGGGTTCCACCTATTAAACTTCTACCAGCCCCTTTCCTCTTTTCCCGTCTGCACTGTCACTGCTCGATTCAGGCCTTCTTTAATGTCCCATCTGCAATATGACAACAGTTTCCAAGGTGTCTCCCTAAAGTCAATGCCACTGTCATCTAATCTAAGATTTTTTAAATTCCAATTTTTGTTATAATTTTTTAAACACATACCTGACAATATCATTCACTTGTTCAAAGGGCTCAGTACTATAAACCCTCATGGGGCCTTTGTGATCTGGCCCTTCCTGTCTCCCCAGCCCTCGCTCTGTGCTGTCACTAAACAGGCTGGAGTTTCCTGAATGTCCAGTGCTGTTTCACTTCTCTATCGGTGCTGTTCCTTCTGCTGGGTCACCGAGCCTTCCACTTGCCTGCCAATTCATCCTCCTACATGAAGGTTCATTATTTCATCAATAAACACTTTCCAACACTTCTCATGAGTCGAGCCTGGGACAAGTTCAGGGAGTACAATGCTGAATGACACACTCAACCCTTTCTTTCTCATAGAAAAAGTAACTTTAGGGCTCTCAAAGGAGGAATAAAGTTTGGAAATTAAGGTAAAGTTGTCTGAAATTTAGCAGTGTTGCCTTTATTAGTTGGATATCTTAGCAAACTGTGGAAACTTGGAAACCTTGATACTTGGGCATCAAGTTCAAAAGTGTCTCAGTAGATTTCAATTGCAACAGTAAACTGTGATATGGTAGATTTATTCCTTTTGGCTCACAAGGCTATAATGTGCTTAAAAAAACATTGATTTGAACTACAAAAACAATGATCAAAAACTTGCTTCAATATAGTGTTACAAATTTATAAAGTATTAGGCGGGGCATGGTGGCTCACATCTGCAATACCAGCACTTTGGGAGGCCAAGGCTAGCAGATCACCTGAGGTCAGTAGTTCGAGACCAGCCTGGTCAACAGGGCCAAACTTGTCCCTACTAAAAATACAAAAGTCAGCTGAGTGTTGTGGTGGGTGCCTGTAGTCCCAGCTACTTGGAAGGCTGAAACACAAGAATTGCTTGAACGCAGGAGGAGGAGGTTGCAGTGAGCCAAGATTGCACCACTACACTCCCGTCTGGGGCAAGAGAGTAAGACTCTGTTTCAAAAAACAAAACAAAACAACCTATTAATTAGTCATACCATTTCCTAAAAGTCACGCTGCTAACTAAAGGTGACTGCAATGATCTAGGGATGGTAATCTGCTGAGTTTACGCTTTAAATACACTGGAACCCAGCAGATTGAGTTATATTGGGACAGAAACTTCACTCTGGGTATAGATTTACCCTAGCACCTTGTCAGCAGGATCCTATTATTCATGGTTGTACAAGCAAGGTTCGGGGAAGAGGCTGGCACAGAGAAAGTACCTGTTAACTGTTGTTTGGGACTGAATTCAGCTCAACTCACTTCCAGTAGAGATGGTGCTGCCTCCTCTACCGTGTTGAGATAGTGTGCAGTCCCTTCCTAGGTGCTGCTACCCACCACAGTGCGGCCTGTCAGCTTCAACTTTTAAATTTCTCTGCTCCCGCTGGGACCCACCCGCTTTAAAAGGCACCATGTGGTTTTGGCATCAATTTAGTAAACACAAACTGTCTGAAATATTTTGATTTTAGACAGTTACTTACAATCACCACATTAAATGATACATTTCTACCATTCAGTGAAAATGGTAGCAAAATGGTCATTGAATAATGAAATTAATTTTCTCCTGGGCTTCTGAGGCAAAGCACATGATTTTAGTGGTTATCTTAAATCAACCCAGTGACCTTCACTGGCATGTTGTAACATCAGGCGCCTTAGGAAACTGAAAACTCAATCGTCACTTCCCATACCACTGCCCCAGGGCAGCAGGGCAGGCATTTCACATCTAGAGTCTCATTTTAAATACAGACAGAGCAAGCCTCGCTTTTCAAAAGTTCATTAACAAAGTCTCACAATTAAGAGAGCAGCCCTGTGACTCATTTTTGGATACCTGTAAATAACAGCTCCTCCCTTTGCTGAGAAACGGCTGAAACAAGCGCGTGAGAACCACAGGAAGTAATACAGATCTCAGCTGGTGTCAGCAGAGTCTAGAAAAAGGCAGAATTCCCTCTCAGGACGGCGTGGTTCTCGCAGGCATTACCACTACTTCTCTCCATTTTTCTAAAACAAAGTCTTACGTGGGCTGCGAAGGGACTGCTCCAAGGCTCTATCAATTTCTCCGTCTTTCTTGGCTACTGAGTGACACTGCCAAGTTCAAGTCAAGAAGTACCCATTCTGGTGTGTTTGACACAGTCACCCTAATAGGAAGTGAAGAGGTCATAACACAAAAACACTTCAGTCTTTCGATTTAAAATAAAAGTAGTCTTAGGTGGACACTTTAAAAAGGCAGCCTACCGACAGGTATCCCTAAAATAATTCCTGTGAAGCACTAAATCCTAAGTCCCTCAGCCTCTGAAATTAAAAGTAATTTTAAAAAATCATTCCGCTTTATACGAGGAACCCAATCCTGTGTTTCCGAAGGTGCCCAGAGGCGGCGTGAGGACCCGCGCCAGATCCAAAATCCCAACTAAGGCACAGCCGCGGGTCCCCAGCCCAGACAGTAACCCCGCCCGCCTCCCGGATCTCTCCGCGCACGGGGAATAGTCAGGAAGAGAAATGGGGGGTCAGAAAGAGAAATGGGGGCTCAGGGAGAGAAAAAACAAACCTGGACCCGGAACGAGAGCGCGAACTGAGAAGCCTCTCTCCCTGCAGGGCGCGCGTCCCCTGTGGGCGCCGCGATGGGGAAGGAAACCTGTTGCGCGACTCCCGGCGGCTCTGCTCCCCGCGCCTCCTGCGGCCGAGGCTGGGCTCCTCCACAGCCGCCCGAGCTCCGCGCCGCCGCGGCCGCATCTGGGCGCCGCCGGCTCAGCCCCCGCCGCTTAGGAAGCTACCACAGCTGGGGACCAGGCCCCGCCCCGGGATGACAGCGCCGGGGCGCGGCAGCAGCCGGCTCACAGAGCACGGGTTCCCGCCCCACCCGGAGTCCGTGCGCTCGGGACCGCCCGGAGCCGGGGACTCGCTCCAGCCCCTCCCGCGAGCCCCGGGGCGTTCCCGGGGGCGGCGCGGACCCGCGCAGGGAGTGGGATGTTAGCCGCCCAAGACACTTCCTCCGCTCATCCTCTGGTCCCCAGGTCAGGGAGTGCGATGGACTTTCCCCGGGAATCCCCGCTGCGCCGGTGACATTTGCAGTCCGGTGCGTTTCTGCTGCAAGGACGCTGGAAGCGGTCTCTGAGCGTGGGTGTGGCTGCGGAGGCTGCAGCAGGTCCTGCATCCGCGGGACCCTGGAGGAGGCGGGCGAGGAGCCTGCGGTCACACAGAGGCCGAGCACAGCCTTCCCAGAACCTGGCCGGCCAACCCATCTCCAGTCGGCCTCAACACCCGCCAGGCTCATCATTCCCTGGATATCAACTGAGCGGCCCCTTGTATTCCCAGGATAACACCGCGCTCAAAAACATTGCCAAGACCCTCCCTCCAGGTCCCGGCACTTTAACGGGGAGAGATAAACATAAAGTGTGGATTGTGTCAGGTGATGGTAAAGCACCTTGAAAAACAAGGCTGAGGCTGAAAAGTAAGGAAGTGATACTCAAGAAAGGAAAAATCGGGCCAGGCGCGGTAGCTCATGCCCGTAATCCTAACACTTTGGGAGGCCGAAGGGGGAGGATCTCTTGAGCCCCGGAATTTGAGACCAGCCAGAGCAATATGGTGAAAGCCTATGTCTACAAAAAATAAAAAAAAATTAACTGGGCGTGGCGGCACGCGCTGTGAGCCCAGCTACGCGGGAGGCTAAGGTGGGAGGATCACTTGAGGCCGGGAGGTCAAGGATGCAGTGAGCCGAGATCGCGCCACTGCACTCCAGCCTGGGCGACAGAATGAGACGCTGCCTCAATTGAATGAGAAGAAAAAAAATAAAAAATAAAAATAAATGAATCCTGTCTTGATGGGAGAATGTTTAAACACAGGAACCACCTGAAAGAGCTCCCAGTTGCCAAAGATGGAACCATTGAGCAACGAAGTAAACTGAACAAGGTAGTGCTGGATTACAAACCAAAGTAAAAAATATCCATGAGTCTACACTGATATAAATAAATAAATAAATAAATAAATAAATAAATAAATGGCAGAGAGGAGACAAATCTCCTATACAGAATAATTCCAAATAATTTATGTAGATCATCTACCCTAGGCTGTGCACAGTGACTTCCTCCAAAATAGTACAATGTGGAAAGGGGAAAAGAGTAGCTTTACAATGGAGAAAGCCAACAGACACTACCCCAACCAGATGTTCTAAGTCAACGTCAACAATCATGACTCATATTGATGGCGTGTAGTCAACATGATGTGATGAATATGGTATATTACCTGTGTGGTCTACCTCCCCGAAAACCATAACCTCAGTATCATAATGAGAAAAATATCAAACAACTTCCAACAGCGGGACATCTTACAAAATACTGGACCAATATTCCTCAAAGTTGTCAGGTTATCAAAAGTAAGGAAAGTACAGTCCAGACGTTGTGACTGTCGCCTGTAATCCCAACACTTTGAGAGGCTGAAGCCAGAGGATTGCTTGAGGCCAGGAGTTCGAGACCTGGCCTGGCCAACATAATGAGATGCTGTCTCTACAAAAAAATTAAAATAAGGAAAGTCTGAAAAACTGCTGCAGCCTAGAAGAAACTCAGGAGATGTGAAACGAAATGTAATGTGGTATCCTGGATAGGATCCTGGGACAGAAAAAGGACTTGGGGAAAAACTAAGGAAATCTAAATAAAGCGTGGACTTTCATTAATAATAAGAATCAAGGTTGATTAATTAGTTGTGAGGAATGTAATGTAAGATGGTAATCATAGGGAAATCTGAAATAGAATCTATGGCAATTCTGTACTACATTTGCAATTGTTCTGTAACTCTAAAACTGTTCTAAAAAATAGTTTATTTTAAAAGAAAGTGAAATAAGAGGGATGAGGTATGTTATATTTTTAAAAATAGGTATATTGCAAAGCCCTCTGTGATAGGAGAATCATTGAGGGAGGAAACAATGCAGCTAGTGGGATTAAGATCATTTCAAGCCTAGGAATCAGTGGATGTAAACGCCCTGAGGCAGGAGCATGCTTGGCTTCTGGGAGAAATATCAGCATGGGCAAAACAGAGTCCAGTGAGAGTTATGGTGGTGGGACTAGGAGTGGGGAATAGAGCATGTAGGGCATTGGTAGTCATGATAGTCTTTAAATTTTACATTGATTGAGATAGGAAGACTGAAGAATGTTTAACAGAGAAGCTAAATGATGTGGCTGGTTGTTTTTTTAATCTACCGTTTTGCTGAGGATAGATTAAAGGACAAAGATGAAAAGAGGCCAGCGAGTTAGAAAGCTGTGATGATTAATCTGATGTGTCAAATTTATTGGACCATGGGGTGCGCAGATATTTGGTAAAACATTATCCTGGGTGTGTCTGTGAGGGTGCTTGCTGATGACATTTTTATTTTTATTTGTTTTTTTTTTTTTTTTGAGATAGTGTCTCACTCTGTTGCCCAGGCTGCAGTGCAGTGGCATGATCATGGCTCCCTGCAGCCTCGACCTCCCCTGCTCAAGTGATCCTCCTGCCTCAGCCCCCTGAGTAGCTGGGACTACAGGCATGCACCACCACACTTGGCAAATTTTTTATTTTTAGCCCAGGCTGGTCTCCAACTCCTTAGGTCAAGTGATCCTCCCACCTTGGCCTCCCAAAGTGCTGGGTTAACAGGCATCAGTTACCATGCTCAGCTGAGATTAACCTTTGAATCCATGGAGAAGACTGCCTGAAAAAGAGTCTAAGTTGTGCATGGGGAAAAAAGGGGAAGATTGCTGGGGATTCAGAGTGGCATTTTGGACACCTTCAGTTTGGAGTTGTCAAGTTGTCACAAAGGTGGTTGGTTAGGTGAGTCTGGGATGGTGGTATATATTTGGAGTTCTTTAGCATATAGATGGTGTGCAGACAGGATGGGGATGTCTGAAATCTGAGTCCTGGCATGCTCCGAGGTTAGGAAGATAGAGAATCAAAAAAAAGAGAATGAGAAGTTCTGATTAGTGAGATAGATAAACCAAGAGAGAATATGTTCCCAGAAGCCAAATGAAAAAAAATGTTGCAAGAAAGAATGATTAACTTTCAAATGCTGCTACAGTGTGTAAAATTAGGATGCAAAACTGAGCAATGGGCTTGGCCACATGGAAATCAGTGGTGAGCTTGGTAAGAAGAGTTTTAGTGGGGGATGACCAAAGCCTATTTGGAGTGACCCCAGAAAGAATCAAAATGGCAGATGAAGACAAAGAAATGGAGTAGAAACTGGAAGGAATCATATAGTCAAAGCAGTTTGTTCGTTTTTTTTAAATTAGAAGTTATACATGTTTGTACACTCACCAGCATGAACCAAAAGGAAAGGAAAGAGGGATAATACAGGAGCAAAAATATGGGTTACATACTGGAGCAATGTTCTTGAGTAGATGAGCAGGTGTGCAATCCAATGCACAAATGGAAATTTGGGGTAAAATAGAAGAAAGAGTTCGTCCCTGGTAATAGGAGAAAACAACTCCAAACTGAACATGTCCAAAATGCCACTCTTAATTCCCGGCAATCTTCCCCTTCCCTCCCCATCCGCAATTTACTTTTTCAGGCAGTCGTCCTCATGGATTCAAATGTTAATCTCAGCTGAGTGTGGTAGCCTGTAAACCCAGCACTTTGGGAGGCCAAGGTAGGAGGATCACTTGAACCCGGGAGTTGGAGAGCAGCCTGGGCAACATAGGGAGATCTTATCTTTACTAAAAATCAAAGAATTAGCCGAGTGTGGTGGTGCATGCCTGATGTCCCAGCTACTGGGAAAGTGTGGCAGAGATGCTGGTAAATGTGGAGGCAATAACATATTTTATCAATGAAATTAAAAGCAAAGGCCGGGCACGGTGGTTCAGGCCTGTAATCCCAGCACTTTGAGAGGCTGAGGTGGGTGGGTCACCTGAGGTCAGGAGTTCAAGACCAGCCTGACCAACATGGAGAAACTCTGTCACTACTAAAAATACAAAATTAGCTGGGCATGGTGGTGCATGATGACAGGGTTTAGCGTATGGCTAATCTAAATTATCTTCTGCAGTTGATCTGCCCACACTCAGCTGAAACCCCAGCTTATTCTTGGGTTATTCTTGTTTTATAGATTTTCTGGAAACCTTAGCTCTCCCCTCCAATCTGGAGTTTTTCAGAGGTGATGACTGATAAGGACCTTAGGGTGAAGCTCAGATAAAGCAGAGCTGGCACTGGGTGCGGGGTGTGGCCATTGCATGGAGGTCTGTCAGCCGCGGCCATCATCCTGCACACTAGTGCCGTTCCTAATTTACAGAGCTCATAAACCCATTGAATGCTAGGGTTGGAAGGTCCTCTAACACAGCCACCCTTCTGAGGTGCAACTCCTTCACGGCTCTCAGTCAAATAGTCATTGCGTATCAACTACCATTTCTCTTTTTCATGCTAGTTCGAGAACTCTTTGCAGACAAAGAATGTGTTTAAACTTATTGTATTGTTGTGATAAAATATTTACAACATAGAATTTACCATTGTAACTATGTTAAAGTGTACAGTGGCATTAAATTAGGTACATTCACATTGTGGTGTAACCATCACCACTATCCTGAACGTTTTTATCCTGCCAACTAAAACTGCACCCGTTAAACACTAACTCCCTAGTCTCTCCTCCCTCTTACCATTAGCAACCACCATTCTACTTTTTTTCTTTACTAACATCTCTCTCAGTCCTTGATAACCACAATTCTACTTCTGCTTCTATGAGTTCAACGTTTTTAGATTCCACATGTAAATGTCATCATGTGGTATTTGTTTTTTTGTGCCTGGCTTATTTCACTTAACATAATGTCCTCCAGGTTCATTCATGGCATTGCAATGACAGGATTTCCTTCTTTTGTAAGGCTGAAA